AAATTAAAAAAAAAAAAAATACAAAATATAGGCCAAGTTATAAAATTATACATATCTTTAGTAATAAAAGAGTAAAGTGATTGACTGACTTAACGATTCGTCAACGGCCAGTCGAAACATCTGAAGCTCGAATCTTGAAATTTTGGGTGAGGGTCACTGTTTGTCCGAAGGAGTCAGATAATGCTGTGTTCTTAGGAATGCGTACTACAGCGGCACGAAAAGTACTAAAAGGTAATAAAAATGCTACCATTTGTATTTGATGAAACAGTACACCTAGAACTCTTAAATTAGGAATCAGGGTCACTGATGGAGTGTATGATTGATGTACCAAGGGTTTTTGAAAATTCGCACTATAAGTGTACAAAAAGTACTTACATGTACTACATTTGGTGTAATTTCGTAACAAATAAAAATTTGAAATAAGAATTTTTGTTGAGGAGTAGGGTTGTGAGATAGTTTTGTGGAAGTGCGTATTAAATTTGAAATTAGCATTACTGGCGATGTGTAGGATTGGGATATGGAGGTAGTTTTCTAAATTTGTACTTATGTGCACGAAAAGTACTAAACAATACTAAATTTGGATTTGGGTGAACCGATAAAGCTGAAATGCTTAACTTTGGACATAAGAATACTATTGCATTGTAGGATTGGGGTATGTAGGAAGTTTTGTCAAGTCGTACTTTTGTGTACTAAATTTGCAACAATTTTAGTTTTGGAAGAACAGGTAGAGGTGGAATTCTAAAATTTAAAAATAAGGATTATATTGTATGGGGCAGGTTGTTTTGGAAATTGTACTTATTTATTACAATTACAATTACATATTTGGTACAATTTGAATTCGGGTGAAGCAACAGGCTTGTATCCTGAAATTTGGAAATAAAATTACTGTCGGAGTGTTAGACTGGGCTTTGAATGTAGTTTTGGAAATTTGTACTAATATGTACAAAAATGTAATACATTTGGCACAAATTGGAATTGTAGAGCTGGAACTCCGAAATTTAGAATGATAGTCTCTGATGGAGTGCAGGAAAGATGAACAAAGGGTTTTTTGAAAATTAGCACTGCAAGGTTACCAATAGTTTAAAACGGTACTAAACATTTAAAATTGTACCATTTGTTACTATGTGATCGGATAAAGCTAAATTTGGTATGAGAATCAAGGTTGGAATAAAAGTTCGATTTATGAAGGTAGTTTCGAAATGTAAAATGGTATTAGGGTCGGTGTTCATGTGTAGCCTGGATACATGGAGTAGTGTGTAGCCTGGATACAGGAGCTTAGCTGTTTTATACCCTACACCGCATAATGGTAAGGGCATTATGTCTTCGTGATTTTTTTTGTAACCTGAAGAAGAAAGCGAGATAGACTAATAGTTACTTCTTAGGATCTTCATAGAATAAAATTCTTAGTCGATTTATGCATATCTGTCCGTACGTATATTTTCCGTTCATGTATTTTTGTGAACAAAATACAGGTCGCATTTATTACCCCATTGAGATGAAATTTTCCAAACAATATTTGTTTGGCCCAAGGACGAATGCTACTGAAATTGGTGATAATCGGATAAGATTTGGATATAGCTCCCGTAAATATCCTAACCGATTTAGGGTTAAGAGTGCACCAAATAGCCCATGTCAGCCCAAAAGGTCTGAATTTTGACTCATCCGACTAAATTCAGTCTAGAAACAAATGCCTCAAATTTGGTGAAAATCGGTTCAGATATAGCTATAGCTCCCATATATATGTTTCATCCAATTTGGTGTTGAAGTCCCTCACATTCGTAAAATGCACCCACAGTAATGATATTTGGTACCAGATATCAGATAAAGTCCAGAAATACCTCTGCCAAATCTTATCAAGATCGGTTCAGCTTTCGATATAGCTCCCATATATATCTTAAACCGAATGGCCACCAAATGGCCAATATCAGTCCAAATATCCTGAATTTTGGTACATCCGACCAAATTTAGTCTAGAAGTAGTTACATCAAATTTGGTGAAAATCGATTCAGATATAGCATAGCTCCCATATTTATCTTTCATCCGATTTGTGGTTTTAAGTCCCTCACATTCGCAATATGTACTCCACAACCATATATAAGATACAGCCCAGAAAGAAGTACCTAAAATTGTGTCAAGACCGGTTCACATTTGGATATAGCGCCTATATGTCCTTATCCGATTTCAGGTTTATTTATTGTGAACCAAATGGCTAATATCAGCCCAAATGGAGTGAATTGTGGCACTTCCGACGGAATTCAGTCTAGATGCAAATACTTCACATTTTGGTGAAAATGATTTGCTATGGGAGCCTTGCCATAGCTATGGGAACATGTTTCATCCGATTTGGTGATAAAGTCCCTCGTATGCGTAATATGCACTCCACAACAATGAGATTTGATACCGGACATCAGATACAGCTCGAAAATACCTTTGCCAAATTTTATCGAGATCGGTCCAGATTTGTATATACCTTCGGTATACATCTTCAAATTGTGAATAACCTAAAGCCATGATACGCTTTCAAATAAAGTTCATAGTTGGTATGATCTACTTCACATAACTTTATTTGTTACGGGAGCTCCACTAAGTATGCATAGTAGTGTAGGATATCATATTGGCGGCCCCGCCTGACTTTTGGCCTTTCTTTACTGGTTTTAGTATCCATACCTGCTCTGTCATATCGCTCAGGTTATGGTAGCCTAAATTTAAGCATATAGAGATAAACACATCATTATCAAATTTTTGTTTCACTACGATTTTCTTAGTTATGCTAATAAATACCAGACTCTCCGTTGAAATTGAATTTTAAATAAGAAGATATGTATGACAAATTTCCCATCGGAACAGTTTCACACAATGGAAGAAATAGCGGTACGAGGTTATTATCAATCAATTTAATTTCAACAACGACATAATGGCAATGATTTCATTATTTCACCTCTGCATATTCCACGATAATGGAAAATGTCATAATTATCCGCAAATTAATTAATCAAATTTTCTTCATGCAATATTAAATTATATCACCTCATCACATTGTTGCTCACACTGCTGAGGTAGCTGGCAGCAACGACACCAAAACCAACTACCCAAAACTAGTTTAGCAGCTTATGTTGCCATGAGGTATCCACTCACCCACCATAGTTTGACATGTAGTGTTCCATGCTTACCTGAAAGTCATTACATGATTTTTCTTCTTCTTTATTTTTTTTTTTTTTGGGAAAGTTGTTGTAGTTGCTCTTCAGCTTATGGGATATCATCCATTAAGCTTTAGCCACAATACACAACCACGATGTCCTCTTTCCTTCTCTCTACTCTCTATAGCTGCTTCTTTTTCCCTTTTTGTGCTTTGTGCCAGTGTTTTATTTATCCTTGAGATGTGTTGCAAACCAAGAAGACACATTTCTCGATTTGATCTGATGTTGATTACACTCGAACTGTTGTTCGTTCGAGTGAACAGAAAAAACAACAACAACATTGATTCTGATATTGATGTTGATGTAGCCTGGTTTTGAGAATGACGAGGCGGCGTCTATGCTACTGATGACATTGCTATTTTTCCCATTTTCTTACTTTCCGTTGGTCATGCAGCCATGTGTGTTGTGTGGGTATTATCTACACACTCATACATTACTCCTCGAGCATGTGTGTGTATATGTGTAATAAGATAGCACAGAGACATTTGGTTTTGAATAATATTCCTGCTACTCTGCAAATGACTAATACACAACCACGCCACTAGTACACCAACAATTGCAGACATGAACGAAAATTTATCTGGTTTTGAGTGTGTATTTCATGTCATTCCTTATTGAACTTTTGCGTGTTCCATTGATTACGAAAACGTGAATAAGCTTCTTTTATCATCATCATCATGTACTGCTGACATTCCTTTGCTGTCTGCGGGGCGTTGGTGTTGCTGGTGAGGTTACTCAAGCTTAATGCTTGAGGTGTTGCTCGCTTGATAAGATGTATTTAGATTTCGGTACACGTTCATCAATAAGTACTATTATTTATTCCTGCTTTTCTTCGGCGTGATATATCATTTCTTGTGGGATTCATTCATGTGTGATGGAATTGCTGTGGAATGTAATCTACAAGGGCGTGCAAGAGAAAATATATATGAAATTTAAATTGAAAATATAATTTTACACTTTTTTAGGATTTTTATGAAAGAATGAGTGAAGAATAATAAAATTGGAAAATGAGATTTTTATTTTATTACTTCCTGGCATCTTTCAAAACGGATAATTCAAACACAAGACCTCTCCGCCATCTTACTGCACAGAGTTAAATATAAGCCAGTAAGGAAAGGTCCAAAGTGGCGCGTGACCTATACCACTATTTAGTAGAGTTCCTGTAACAAAAAATTTCATGTTGGGAATTTATGTGAAGTATATCATACTAACTATGAACATGGGAACTACATATATCCATTTTGGGAACTATATCCATCTCTGGATCGATTTTCAAAAAATTTGACGGAGACTTTTGTACCCCTACTGCCAAATAATAATGTTGTATAGTGCATGATATGACTTCGAGAAGAATTTTATTAAAAAATTGGAAAAAGTCAAACGCCATAAGTTTTACATTGTTTATACCCTCCACCATAGTATGGAGGGTATATTAAGTTTGCCATTCCGTTTGTAACACCTCGAAGTATACATTTTAGACCCCACAAAGTATATATATTCTTGATACATAGAACATGGGAACTACATATATCCATTTTGGGAACAACATCGATCTCTGGATCGATTTTCAAAAAATTTGACGGAGGTTTTTGTACCTCTAGTGCCAAATAATATTGTTGTATAGTGCATGATATGACTTCGAGAAGAATTTTATTAAAAAATTGGAAAAAGTCAAACGCCATATGTTGCCGCCAATTTAATGCAGCACTGAAAATATGCAGCTCTGTACTTTTATTTTTCATTTTACTATTGTTCTTATACCTTTGTACCTCATGCACAATTCATCTTATGTTTTGCTTTACATCCGGAAATTCCTTTTAAAAACTGTTTTTCATACCAAGCAGAAGTAGTTGCGCACAACTTGCGCTATATTTTCATAAATGAAAAGTTGATGGTTTGAAACCAAAAAGTAAGTCTTAACATAATTAACTTAACATTACTAATTATGTACTATTTTAAGGAATTATAACATAAGGTTGAGTCACAAGTTGACAATAAAGAAATAATTGGATTTCACTAAAATTAACCTGTGTTGAAAATCAATTCAAGTCATCACGTGCTACTATTGCGAACAAATTTATAATTCTTTTTGTGGTCTATCTGGCAATAACGGATACACTGGAGGGAAAGATTGTAGCCCTGGACCTAAAGTTCACAAAGCTGTCACATTCAACACAATCTCGGCCACACGTAAGTAAAATATGGACCCTTTACCTCATCCCGGTCAACCACAGATTAAAGACGTATTACCACAAAACGTCCAACAAATATGTCAGCTTTGCCACGAACAACTTGCCGATATCGTTGTTAGTTGCAAGTCATGTCAAAAACCATACCATACCACCTGCGCAAAGGTCCCTAGCCCACAAGAGTCATGGCTATGTCAATCGTGTAACACAAACTTTTCGCTCTCTGCTTCGAGCACACACTCTTCGTTGGCGTCAAAAGACTCTGCTAGCCGAAGAAAGACACTTGCGCTAAAGCGGTTAGAAGAGGAGCGGGAGCTATCCATGAGACGCGATCAGGAATATCTGCAGAAAAAATATAAAATTCTTCATGAAATAGACGAAGAAGATGCTAATGACCATCTTCCACCAGTCTCGAATCAAATTACGCAAGAAACAAATGTCACGGTCTCGCCGCCGAACCTAACCTCATTTAATGCATCTTTGCATGTGCCAAACACCCTACCTATAATGACTACCGTCGCACACAATCCTCCAGTAAACCGTTTATATGAACCAACCAATGTCACAACTTCACGACCTTTTAACCCGATTTGTCCAAATTTTCCGTTGCACTCAACAGTAAATCAAAATGTGAACCAACCACGTCTAAGTTATTCCCAAAATATAAATAACACACAGCAGGCACAATCATTTATTAATCGTGAACAGACGGAAAGATCTCAGCCACAGCTATTGCAGCCAACAACACTGGAGACCAGATTAAGATCCGACCAAGTACATGCTCGACAAACAGTGCCTAAAGACCTACCCACCTTTTCAGGTTGTCCGGAGGAATGGCCTTTGTTTAGCTCGACATACGACTGGTCTACAGAAGTCTGCGGCTTGACTGATGCAGAAAATCTTATAAGGCTCCAAAGATCTCTGCGAGGTGAAGCATTGGAAGCTGTTAAAAGAATTCTTATTCATCCTTCATGTGTGCCTCACGCTATTTCCACATTGAAATTATTGTACGGTCAGCCAGACAAGATTCTGTTTTCTCTGAAAAATAAAATAAAAACATTACCTCCAATTAACCTCAACAAAATGGAAACCATAACAAACTTTGCCATCCAAGTAAAAGGTCTCCAATCAACTATTGAAGCCTGTGGACTCTTTGATGAATTGAACGATACTTCGCTGCTTCAGGAACTAGTCGCCAAATTGCCACCGTATTATCAAATAATTTGGGGTTCAATAAAATTAGGTCTTCAGCAAAATGATCAAAAAACTAATTTAACAGAGTTTGCCAATTGGATCTTTGACATTGGACTGTCAGCTAGCACTGTTAACATTACAAATAACATGACTCTTGACTCTGTTAATAATCGTAAACAAAAGAGTGCCTTTTGCAATACACACACAGAAACTAATAACAAGAAATGTCTGGTTTGCAGCAGTGATTGTAAAACTGTTACAAGCTGTAAAAAGTTTCTGTCAGCTGACCGCAAAGATAGATGGAATTATGTCAACAGATTAGAGTTGTGCAAGCACTGCTTACGGAAACATTCAGGTGTCTGTTATAACAGAGATAAAAGCTGTAATGTAGAAGGCTGTCAATTTAAACATAATAAGCTTCTTCATAAGTATGTAAGCAACAATACCCCAAGAGAAAACAATGAGAAAGAGAGTGATAACAGTAATGCTCAAAATATAAACGCACATGATACTCAAAAACTAAATATTCTCTTTAAAGTAATTCCAATAAAAATTTATGGAAACAACAACAAATTCATTTCTTCATACGCGTTTTTGGATGACGGCTCTTCAATTAGCTTAATAGACGAAGAAATAATAAAACAGTTGGAATTGGAGGGGGAAGCTGCACCACTATGTTTAAAATGGACAGCAAAAATAGAAAGAATGGAAGAAAACTCACAACGCATTACAGTCCAGGTGTCGGGAAATAACAACAGAAATTTTAGTGTTGATGTTCGCACTGTAAGAGGACTTTCCTTGCCCAAACAAACACTGGATTATAAAACTTTAAGTAGAAAATTTAGTCACTTAAAGGGATTGCCAGTTGAAAGTTATTATGCCGCAACACCAAAAATTCTTATTGGACTTAACAACATAAACATAACATTGGCGAACAAAATCAAGGAAGGCAGAAAAAATGAACCAATTGCTATTAAAACCGCATTAGGGTGGACAGTTTTTGGACCTTTTGGTAGCAATCAAGCTGTACAATACAATCTTCATATGTGCGAGTGTTTGGAGACTGAAAGCCAAATAAACCGATTGGTAAAAAGTTTTTTTTAGCATTGAAAGTCTGGGTATTAATTATCAAAATGTCAGGGCCACTAGAGAGGATGAAAGGTAGTTGCAACTTCTAGATAATTTTACCAAGCAACGAGATGATGGTCATTATGAAACCACTCTACTGTGGCAAAATGATAAAATATTTTTGCCAAATAATTACCAAATGGCGAAAAGTAGACTTTTATGCCTTGAAAAGCAAATAAGAAAAAATAGCGAACTTTATGCAGTGTATGCTAAGACGATCGACGAGTATCTTAACAAAGGTTATATCACCAAGATTGATGTAAATACATCGGCTGATAGAATCTGGTATCTTCCTACCTTTCCTGTATATAATAAAAATAAGCCAGGCAAGTGTCGGATTGTATGGGATGCTGCCGCCAAGTTTAATGGGATTTCGTTAAATACCATGCTCTATAAAGGCCCAGACCTGTTGGCTTCGTTACAAGCAATATATTTTCAGTTCAGGGAACGGTCTGTAGCCATTTGTGCTGACATCGAGCAAATGTTTCACCAGGTTTTTATGCGCGAAGAAGACAGACATGTTCAGCGATTCTTATGGCGTAATTGTGATTCCAGCAAAGAACCTGATGTTTACCTCATGAATGTTATGATATTTGGAGCCTCCTGTGCTCCATGTATTTCCCAATACGTAAAAAATATAAATGCCTCCAAATTTGAAAATACATTTCCTGAAGCTGCTTCTGCCATTAAAAACAATCATTACGTAGATGATTTTCTGTACTCTGTCGATACAGTAGAGCAAGCCATTAATATAGCAAAGGATATTAAGTATATTCAACTGCAAGCTGGATTTAACCTTAGAAATTGGGTTTCGAATAATATTCGAGTGGTAAACCAAATAGAAAAACCACATCATGTGAAAGAAAAGCTGTTGAACATGGGTTCAGATAAGGGAACGGAAAAGGTTTTAGGTGTTTTTTGGAACCCCTTCGATGATGCCATCGTATTTAAGATTTCACCCCATATTCTAAGCCACGATATTGTTCGTCTTAATAAGGCTCCTACAAAACGACAAATTTTAAAAATTTTAATGACAGTTTACGATCCCCTGGGACTTGTTGGTAATTTCGTAATGTACCTTAAAATAATTTTACAAGAAATTTGGAGAAGCGGCGTCAGCTGGGATGAGCTAGTTAAGGAAGAACAACTTGTGAAGTGGAAAAAGTGGTTAAAATATCATCCCGATTTAGAAAAGGTTAAAATTCAACGTTGCTATTTGAAATCAATTGAGGATTACAACGATGCTTACATAGAGCTACATACATTTGTGGATGCGAGTGAATGTGGCTATGCAGCAGTAGCTTATTTTCGTATAGAGAGGAATAATAACACCGTTTGCTCACTGGTGGGATCTAAAACCCGTGTTGCACCATTGAAAATTATCTCAATTCCTCGTTTAGAGTTAATGGCTGCACTCATTGGCTGTCGTTTCGCCAAAAACATATTAAAACACCACACAATCTCCATAAATAAACAATATTACTGGTCTGACTCAAAGACAGTAATCAGTTGGTTAAGAAATGCTAATAAAAAATATCACCAATTTGTCTCTTTGCGTATTAGCGAAATTTTGGACACCACGGATTTGCAAGATTGGCATTGGATTCCAGGAAAGTACAATGTTGCAGATGAAGCAACTAAGTGGGCAAAGAAACCCGATCTCTCTTTGGATAGTCGATGGTTTAAGGGGCCTGATTTCCTATTAACACCTAAATATGAATGGCCAAGCTATGAAACACAGGTAGAATCAGATGATTCAGAAGTAGTTGAATGTGTGCATGTTCACGATACAAAAGAGCTATTTATAAACATAAATCGTTTTTCCAATTGGAACAGATTATTGAGAACTGCTGCATATGTTGTTCGTTTTTGTGATGTTGTTCAACAAAAGGCAAAATCTAAACGTGAAATTGATTCAACCGAACTTTCCAGAGCTGAAAATTTATTGTTTCGTCTTGCACAACAGGAAGTTTACCGCGAAGAAATTCATCTTTTAAAATCGAACAAAAAATTATCGAAATCAAGTTCATTGTACAAAGTGACTCCAGTATTAGATGAAAATCAAATCCTTCGTGTAGAAGGACGAATAGATAGAGCTCTTATTCCTGAAGAAACCAAATCCCCTATAATTTTGCCAAGGGGTAGTCGCATTACGCAACTGATAATTATGAATTTTCATATAAATTACAAACATCTTAATCACGAAACGGTGATAAACGAGTTGAGACAGCGATTTTATATTCCTCGGTTAAGGGCTGTTTTTAAAAAATTGTTGAAACAGTGCCAAATGTGTAAAATAAAGAAAGCTGTTCCAAACATACCTCAAATGGCGAAGTTGCCAAAAGCCCGATTGGCAGCGTTTTGTCGTCCGTTTACATATACAGGTGTGGACTATTTTGGCCCAATTATGGTAACGGTTGGCCGACATAAAGAAAAGAGGTATGGTGCTTTATTTACGTGTCTTACGGTACGAGCTGTCCATATAGAGGTTGTCAACACTCTTAACACGTCATCGTGCATAATCGCAATTAGAAATTTTATATGTCGTCGCGGGACGCCTAGAGAGTTTTATAGTGACAATGGGACAAATTTTGTATGCGCAGAAAAGGAAATCCGAGAAGCCGTAAGAGAAATTGATAAGAACGAACTAATACGTGTTTTTACTACGACTATAACAAAATGGAACTTTATCCCACCCTCGTCACCGCATATGGGAGGGGCGTGGGAAAGACTGGTGAGATCGGTAAAAAACGTTTTTTATAGTATTTCCCATATTCGCACGCCAAGTGATGAGCTACTTCGAGGAATGCTAGCTGAAGTGGAAAACATAATTAATTCCAGACCCTTGGTTTACGTTCCAATCGAACACGAAAATGCAGAAGCAATTACACCAAATCACCTGCTGCTATGTTCATCCAATGGTATGAAACCGCTGGCGACATACGACGACAGTGGCGTGGCACTTAAACAAAACTGGCTCGCTTCCCAACAATATGCAGAAATGTTCTGGCGTAAGTGGGTAAAAGAATACTTGCCATCTTTGACGCTTAGAACAAAGTGGTATGAGAAGACTAAACCGTTGCAAGTTGGGGACTTAGTTATTGTGGTTGACCCGTCGAGTCCAAGAAACGAGTGGCCAAGAGGAAAAATTGTAGGAACTACTATGGCAATTGATGGGCAGATTCGAAAGGCGAGGGTCTTAACTAGGAATGGAGTGATTGTGCGTCCTGAAACAAGATTGGCGATATTGGATGTGTCCTCAATTTAGGAGTATGACTTCGAAAGTTTCTCGTCATACTGCAGGGGGGTGTTGCCGCCAATTTAATGCAGCACTGAAAATATGCAGCTCTGTACTTTATTTTTCATTTTACTATTGTTCTTATACCTTTGTACCTCATGCACTATTCATCTTATGTTTTGCTTTACATCCGGAAATTCCTTTTAAAAACTGTTTTTCATACCAAGCAGAAGTAGTTGCGCACAACTTGCGCTATATTTTCATAAATGAAAAGTTGATGGTTTGAAACCAAAAAGTAAGTCTTAACATAATTAACTTAACATTACTAATTATGTACTATTTTAAGGAATTATAACATAAGGTTGAGTCACAAGTTGACAATAAAGAAATAATTGGATTTCACTAAAATTAACCTGTGTTGAAAATCAATTCAAGTCATCACGTGCTACTATTGCGAACACCATAAGTTTTACATTGTTTATACCCTCCACCATAGTATGGAGGGTATATTAAGTTTGCCATTCCGTTTGTAACACCTCGAAATATACATTTTAGATCCCACAAATTATATGTATTCTTGATCAGCATAAAATTCTATGTCGATTTAGAAATGTCCGTCTGTCCCTCTGTCCGCTTGTGGAAATCACTCTGGCTTCCGAATAAAATGAAGTAAGTTGATAAAAATGTACTCAAATGTGTATTATGTCTGCTGGATTTTGGTATTGAAAATGAGTCAAGTAAGTCCACGTCTTCATATAACCATATAGCGGTACCTCCCGATATGCGGTATTTTTATGATTTTAGAGACATTATTGTTTCAAAATTGGTATTTGAAGTAGGGAATGGACACTACAGCCTAAGACAGAAAATGGGCCATGTAGGTAGATGTCTTCGTATAGCCCCCTTTTAACGGTACCTTCCGATATTCGGTATTTGGTATTTGAAGTACGTAATGCATACTACAGCATAAGACAGAAAATGAGCCATGTGAGTCCACGTCTTCGCATAGCCACCATATAACGGTACACCCCGCCATTCGGTATTTTGAGGATTTTAGCGACATTATTTATCGGAATTGTTGCAAAATTGGTATTGGAAGTTCGTAATGGATACTACAGCCTAAGACAGAAAATGAGCCATGTGGGTCCACGTCTTCGTATAGCCCCCATATAACGGTACACCCCGCCATTCGGTATTTTGATGATTTTAGCGACATTATTTACCAGAATTGTTTTAAATTTCGCATTTGAAGTTCGTAATGGATACTACAGCCTATGATGGAAAATTGTTTGTGCACGTCCACGTTTTCGTATAGCCCCCATATAACGCTACACCCGACATTCTGTATTTTGATGATTTTAGCGACATTATATACCTGAATTATTTCAAATTTTGTATTTGAAGTTCGTAATGGATACTACAGCCTATGCCAAAAAATTGCCTGTGCAGGTCCACGTTTTATAACCCCCATGGTACCTCCCTATATTCGGTATTTTGATGATTTTAGATACATTATAAACAGATTTTGTTTTCAAGTTTCGCATTTTAATATTATAATAGCTTATGCCAAAATTTGCCAATGCAGGTCCAAGTCGTCGTATAGACCCTAATATACGACTACATTCGGTGTTTTTAAGAATATAACAGAATTTTAATTTTTTAACGGACTTTATTTTTTTGAAAATTGCCAAATTTGTACCAAATGGTGGAGGGTATTCAAAGTTCGGTACGGCCGAACTTATGTCTGTTTTACAT